TCATGCCTCTCATTTCTCTAGGATAAGTGTGCAACATGTTTGCACAGGGATGTTCAGAGAAAATAATACAAGGGAGATGTGTTTAATGATCTATATATCTTATTTGATATCATCTTAATTTCTCTTGCATTATTACCTACAGTTCAGAGCAAAAAGCAGAAACTCCATAAATTATTTAAGTGGGAAAGGCTGGAAAGAGTCCTGGTGGCACAGGTTTAAGTGTAACTCAGAGGATTGGGTTCTTGGGACATGAGTGGAAGGACTGGAGGAAGGGAGTGTGCCTGTTACCGTGCAGTTATAGTTGAAGAGCACCACTGTGGCCAGGGTCCAGCCCTGCTGTGCCCACCAGCAGCATCCACCCTGCTTTCCAGAGCTCAGCCACAGGCCTCTGATGGGGAGACAGTGGGATTCCACCCAGAGCGAACCTGGGAGTTTAGAATTCCCACCTCTGCCTTGAGTCGATGGCCTGGAAGGTCAGGAGCTTGGTCCCCCGTCAGCTACAGTCAGCTCCCCACAGAGAGCAGAAGTTTGCAAGTTCCTCCTGTCATAATTAAGCAATGTAAGCTTGATGTGTGTGCCTTCTCCTGCAAATGAGATTTAGAGGCAAGTCTGTTGGTGGCTGGTTTGGTGAACTCCAGCACTGAGTTCATATGCCAACAAAAAACATACACAGAACAAAACCGGAAATAACCCAGCGTCCATGTACAGTAGATGTGTAACTAAGCCATGCTGTGTTCACACACCATACGCTGCGCTGCAGTGGGAACTGGCAACACCCCAGCGTCTGTGCGTGGCCTGTGTGGAGCTGGGTGGAGCTGTGTTCTCACACCACGCTGCAGCGAGAGGGCATGCAGTCCACCTGCACGTGGCAGCACGGGTGGACGTCAGAACGCGATTGGCACCGAAGCCAGGTGCAGGGTGCATCCAACCTAGTTCCACCTGTGTGTGTTTCAGGAGCATGCAAAACATTCTCAGGCCCAGATCCTAGGCATGATGACCTCCTGGGGAGGGAGGGACTGTAGTCGGTGTGGGGGTGTCACAGGTTAGGGGAATGGGACAGTGGTAAGTGTTGGGGTCTTGCTGGCTAGGGATGGGGGTCAAGGGTGGGTGCAGGGGTGTGGCAGTTTAGGGAAAAAGGAGTTGGTGGGTGGGGTGGTGGTGCTGGTTGGGAGAGGAGGACAGTGGTGGGTGCAGAGAGTGTGTCAGGTCAGTGGGTGTGCTGCTTGGAGGGGACAGTGGTGGGTGCAGGGGTGTGGCAGGTGTGGTGGTGTTGCTTGGGGGAGGGGACAGTGGTGGGTGCGGGGGTGTGGCAGGTGTGGTGGTGTTGCTTGGGGGAGGGGACAGTGGTGGGTGCAGGGGTGTGGCAGGTCGGTGGCTGTGGTGTTGGTGCTGGTTGGGGGAGGGGACAGTGGCCGGTGCTGGTTTTCTTGAACAGGGATGGTCATTAAACACACACTCATGTGATTGAGCTGTGGGGTGGTGATCTGCAAATCTCATTTGCGGGTGTATATTGAAAAACCCATTGCCACAGAGTGGATTCTGACTCATAGTGACCCACTGTTAGGTTTCCAAGGCTGTAAATCTTTATGGAAATACACTGCTTCATCTTCCTCTTGTGGAGCAGCTGGTGAGTTTGAACCACTGACCTTCTGGTTAGCAGCCAAATGCTTTAGTCACTATGCCACCAGGACTCCTTGGGTGGACGTTACTGTGTATAAAATATGCTTTTTAAAGGACACCCGTAAACCCAAATTCAGAAGTTGAGTCTTGTATCCTGGGTCTCCAGTCCCCTGTCTTGTTGGTGTGATCACGTTGATGGGTCTTTTCCTCACCGTAACCCTGTGTGGGTGTCGTGTCTACAGAAGTAGCTGTGTTACGGGGATTCACCTTCCTTTCAAGCAGTGACTGGTTCTGTGTGTGAATCATGCAGCGTTTCCTTTTCATTTTGTGTTTGTTTCCAGGATCTGATAGAGAACGTGGTGGCTGTAGCTGAGAACACCGCTGACGAGTTAGCGCGCAGCGACGGCAGGGAGGTGCAGCTGGAGGAGGACCCTGACCTGCAGCTGCCTTTCCTTCTGCCGGAGGATGGCTATTCTTGTGACGTCGTGAGGAACATTCCGAATGGTTTACAGGAATTCTTAGAGCCTCTGTGCCAGCGAGGTAAACACCGCTCGCTGTCTTGCTCTCTGATGGTGACCAAGGTCAGCTGGATACTGTTAGCTGGATACTCTCAGGAGACAGCCCACCAGTGTGTGTGTCCACACCCCTTGCATTGGCAGAGGTCAGTGTTCGGAGGGGTTGAGACTCCCCACACAAGCTCTCGGGGGGATGCGGTCACCACCAGCACCAAGCACCCGCGTAGCCCACATCTGATTAGACGCTGATGCCTGGATTGATGAGAGCCAACCACAGTGACCATCATCAAGTCAGTTCTAACTCCAGCTGCCCTATGGAACTTCCCCTAGGAGTCCCAAGACAGCCAACCTTTATAGAAGCAGACTGTCTTTATCTTTCTCCCCCGGAGTGGCTAGTGGGTTCGAACCACGGACTTTGTCATTAGCAGCTGAGCATTTTAACCACAGTGCTACTAGAGCTCCTTGGACTAATAAGAAGGGCCCTTTCGTTCTTGCCTTCTTGACATTGGATGAACAGAGTAGGCCGACTTAGCTGCTGAAACCTCCATTGTATATGTTGTGTTGGTACCAAGCCTTCTGAATTCTAACCCTAGCTCTGTCCCCTACAAGCCATGTTGTCTTAGGCAGGTCAATGCTGGGCCTCAGCTTGCCCATCTGTGAGACGGGGATGTTGGCAGGACCCATCCCATGGGGTGCTTATAAAGCACCTGGCATGGTGTCCTGGAGGAAGGGCTCTGTCGTGTTAGCTGAGCCTTGGGTGCTGATTAAGCAACAGGCGTGCCCAAACTCATACACACTACGACCTTCATCCACTCATGTTACATGGGAGGGTTTGGGGCTCTGTGGAGGTTGGGAACAGCTGGCCTCCTTGATGTTGTTATGTGATAGCCATTTTCTCATGGATGTATGTCAGCGTGGAGACTCAGTAAGAACCCTCCAGCCCCTCCCAAGCATGAGCTTTTGAGTTGCACCAAACTTCACCTGCTACTGTTGTGCAGTGTGGAGAGCAACTCGAGTGAGCAGATGCAGTGTGAATACTAAGGATAACACTGTTCAGGTCTCAGGCCCATAGATACTTAAGTGTAGTGGGCATGTTTTGTTACCTGACCACAGCTGACACATACTTATTTCTTCAAAGCCTAGGATAGTTAAAAATTCATCGTACAAAGGATGCATCTGCCGTGAACTGTGTTGGTTACTTAATAGCTGGGGAATGCATTTGTCCTTGTAGCTGCTACAAGATGCGAGTGAGTCTAGATTTGGTTGCGCTCAGAGAAGTGGACCCTGCGACAGGATGGACACGTGTGCAGTTCCTGCGGGAAGTGTGAGGGACAGGTGGCAGCAGAGGTGGGCAGGGAGCACCCAGTTCTGGCGCGGGCCTGCCTGGCTTCAGTGAAGCAGGTGGAGGGTCTGGATCTGCAGCACAGTTCCAGGCAAGGGTCGCCTGGCTGGTGGGCATCCCAAGCCCTGTGCCCTGCTGGAGTGGCCTGGACTAAAGGCCTGCATGGCTAGTCATGCACTGGGAGAAGTGTTGATATGCAGGGGCCTCAGCACCAGCGGGGTGGGAGACCCAGGGCAGGAGTCACAGTGTCCCTCAGCACTGCTTCAAGGCCTCAGCATACCGTCTCTTGGCAAATCAGAGACAAGCCTGTCAGCCACGTGTCATTCATTTCACACATACATGTCATGTTTTGGTCACCGCCATTGACCACATGCCACATTCATTTCGTACATGTGTGTCATGTTAGTCACTGCTGTCAGCTACACGTCTCCTACATTTAACACACATGTGCCATGTGTTAGTCATTGCTGTCAGCTGCACATCATACATTGTACACACGTGTGTTGTGTTAGCATTGTTGTCAGTCACACATCAGTCATTTCATACACAGGTGTGTCAAGTTAGTCACTGCTGTAAGCTACACATCTCATACATTTAAGCACGTTTGTTATGTGTTAGTCATTGCTGTCAGTCACACGTCATTTCACACACATGGGTCAGTCATTGCTGTCAACCACACGCCTCATTCATTTCACATACACTTGTGTGTTAGTCACTGCTGTCGGCCATGTGTCTCATATTTCATGCACACGTGTGTCATGCTTTAGTCACTGCTGGCAACTACACATCTCAGTCATTTCACACACACGTCACATGTTAGTCACTGCTCTCAGCCACATGTCTTGTTTACTTCACCCACAGTGAGGAACAGAAGCCAAACTTCAGTCAATGAAAAGTAGTGTATTTTAACTGGAAAGGCTTATATTGTAAAGTTGACACTTGCCCCTGATGAACATGTCACAGATGTTCTTTAAAACTTCATGAGCAGTTGTGGACTAAACAAGTGGGATCTTTGAGAGAAGCTGCCTGGAGCTGTGCCCAGCAGATGTTGCTCTGAAGCCAGCATCCCACATCAGTCCCTCCACCTTTTGCTTCACCGAGTGTCCAGTGATCCAAGGCTAGCAGGATGGGCAGACCAGGAGGGGGACTTCAGATGGGATCAAGAAGAGGAGGGCTATGGAGCTAGCAGGGTGCGCAGACCCACAGGGGCCTCACTGTCGGTCAGGAAGAGGGGTGCTGTAGAGTGCAGTAGAGAGACCACACCACTTCTCTGCTCACTGTTGGAATTTTCTGAGAGCAAGACAAACCCATGACTTGAAGTGTCTGATGGATCAGTTTGCAGAGGAAGAAAGGGTCTGTAGCAAGAGAGCAGGTGTCGCCTTTAGATCTGAAGTGGGTGGTAATTGACCCTCCGCCCTGTCAGTGCTACGTTGGGCCAAGGCTGTGTCTTTGCTCTCCTGACCTCCTTCTGTCCTTCCCAGGATTTTGCAGGTTAATTCCTCACCTGCGCTCCCCAGGCACTTGGACCATCTACTTTGAAGGTGCGGATTGTGAAAGTCACCTTATACGGGAGAACATGGAACTGGTGAGTATTTGGTGGCTGACCTGTGGGCTGGGACAAGAAGCTTCTCTCTCCTGATGGGAAAATGTGACACAACTAAGTTCCTTGCACACATAAACACTCTTGTGATGGGAAATTTTAAGTTCCTTCTTGCCTGTTTTATGCAGCTGTCTTAAACCCGTGAGAGAGAAATACACACACACACACACACGTATGGATATGGGTGTGTGCGGGTGTATATGCATGTGTGTACGCACACATGCAGGTGCGTATGTGCATGTAGATGTTGTCGCTGTCAGGTGCTGTTGTGTCATCTCTGACTCATAGTGACCTTACACACAACAGAGTGAAACACTCTCTGGTCCTGCGCCGTCCTCACAGTCCTTGCTGTACCTGAGCCCATCATTGTCAGTCCATCTTGATGAATGCCTTCCCTTTTTTTTTCTCTGACCCTCCACTCTACCAAGTATGATGTCCTTCTCCATGGAATAGTGTCTTGTGACAGCATGACCAAAGTAGGTGAGATGAAATCTGGGCATTCTCGTTTCCAAGGAGTATTCTGGCTGCACGTCTTCCAGGACAGATGTGTTTGTTCTTTGGCAGTATTTTCAGTATTCTTTGCCAACACCACAGTTCAAAAGCATCAATTCTTTTTTGGTCTTCCTTATTCATTGTCCAGCTTTCACATACATGTGAGGTGATTGAAAATACCATGGCCTGGGTTAATTAAGCACCTTAGTCTTCGAGGAGATATCTTTGCTCTTCATCACTTGAAAGAGGTCTTTAACAACAGATTTGCCTAGTGTAATATGATGTCTGATTTCTTGACTACTGCTTCCATAGGTATTGATTATGGATCCAAGTAAAGTGAAATCTTTGACGTCAAACTTCTATTTATCATGATTTTGCTTACTAGTCCAGTTAGGAGAATTTTCATTTCCTTTATGTTGAGTTGTAATTCATAATGAAAGCTGAAGTCTTTGATCTTCATCAGTAAGTGCTTCAAGTCATCTTCACTTGCAGCAAGCCAGGCTGTGTCATTTGGGTATCGCAGGTTGTTAATGAGTCTTCCTTCAATCCTGATGCCACCCTCTTCTTCATATAGTCTACCGTCTTGGATTATTTGCTCAGCATACAGATTGAAATAAGTGTGGGGGAAGGATACAGCCCTGAGACACACCCTGCCTGGTTTTAAACCTTGCAGTATCCCCCTTGTTCTGTTCAAATGAAAGCCTCCCAGTCTAGGTACAGGTTCCTCGTGAGCACAATTAAGTGCTCTGGAATTCCATTCTTCTCAGCATTACCCATACTTTGTTTGGTCCACACAGTTGAATGCTTTTGCATAGTCAATGAAACACAAACATTTTTTTGGTATTCTTTGCTTTGAGCCAACATCCATCTGACATCAGCATTGATAATCCTTCATTCCATGCCCTCATCTGAATGTAGCTTGCATTTCTGGAAGTTCTCTGTCAATATACTGCTGCAACCATTTTTGAATTATCTTCCAGCAAGATTTTACTTGTTTGTGATACT